ATATAAATCACAGTGACTGATATGCCAAAGGATTTTATGAGATTCCCATCAGACCAATAGGTTGATGTTACTAAAGGCTTATGAATTATAATAAAATAATTTAATTTTGATATTATCTCATCTATCTTAATCAATAATTGATATTGGGACAGCTGATAGAGAAATGTCTAAATTAATTACTTAATGGTTGACCTTAGTCTGACTCTTGACTTGAGTCTTGAGACGTGTAACGTAATAACACTTGAACCCTCGAAATTAATTTGAATAACCAACCCTAGCCAAATTCATTCTGTATTAGCCAAATTAATGCATACCCATTGTTGCTGTAGAAAACAACAATTTTCAACATCAATATGTTGCACAGAGGCTAAGTAAAACTGTTGATCATGAAGCAGAAGGTCCTAGTTTCAATATTTATGTAAATTGCGATCCTGTTGACTTTCTGTTCCTGTATTTGCTGGTCAGGAGAACATGAACAAGTGTCAAAGTCCTTTAGTATTGGTTTGAAATCTTTGAAGAAAAAGTTTAGAGTAGGCAGCAGAATATTTCATTTATAAGTATTACTACCTCTTTAACCCATGAAAGTGGAGAGTACTTCGTTCAGATTGGAATGTTTTATTTCAATAAGTACCTCATATAACAAAAGAATATTTAAACTTCAATTCGAATTTTTGCTTTTCTGTACAATTGAAATTACAATTATATGTTTGTGCAGTTCAGGTTTTATTGTTCAATTTCAGATTTTTGGTTTCAAATTGAAAAAGGTATCAAATGTTGATTGATTGGCAATTGTTATGCAGACTGTCTGTTATATTACATGAGTTTTAAGGAATGAATTAGAGATGCAAAAACCTAATTCAAAATTTCTAATGTGCTGACATTTGTTGAAATTGGTTTATCTAATCTGCTCATTGAGTGCAAATGTCTTATCATATAGCATGCAGTAAGTACAGATCTTCAGATCTTCAGATATTGTAAATAGGTGAATAGAAAATAAAAACTTTGATAATTAAGTACTCATAAGTAGATAAATATATATTTAGACTAAACTTCTATGATATTTTCATCATCTTACATTACTTGAAGTCTACCAAAAGTTACTGATGACTAACAATTAATCAAGATTCTGTTCATGATAAATTCTACTCTATATTATACAGAAAAGTTATTTTATTATTCCAGCAAGAAATCAATTACTGATTGATGTACCATTTCTGTATGACCCTTGTCATTAACCATTAGACCTCACTTACCCAGTGATTAATTACTTGTCTCAAATTGCATACTAATCATTTGACTTCTTTTAATGCTCATGATTTCATGTTATTCTAATCTGTATCATTACCAGACTTCTTTACCATGATCGAGAGTAGAACAAGAGAACAGTAATCTTCAGGGTTTTTTTTAATTTTTACTTGACTTTAACATTTCAGACCACATATGAAGTGCAATACATTTAATTTGGAGCTTCTAACAAATCCATAGTTATCCTGCTTTTCAGTCAACTGTCAGTTTAACTTCTTATCAAATTAAAATCAAAATACTAAGTCTGTCTTTAGTCCCAACAGATTTTCTAGTCAAAACAGACAATTTTTTGTAAGATATTGATGTTAGAAGGATGTGTTGAAATATCCTTAAGATTGTTTCTTATGGATATTTTTGTCAATTGCTTGAAGAGGAAAACCAGAATTTCAAAAATCTGCTGAATGTGTCCTGCATAAAAGTGCTTGCTAAACCAACTTTGTTAACTGTAAGCATGCTATTTTGATAAGCATGCCCTGAAAGCTTTGTATGAGGCAGCAAATAAATGTTTTATGGAAGAATTAGAGAATAATCACCTCATGGTGTAACTGTAATTCATGGTTAAATGTTTACCTAAGGTATTTCTCAATTAAAACATATCACAGAATTGTAAAGTCACTTCAAGTCACAAGTTGTCATGAGCCATCCAATTCCTTCTGGTGATATTCAAACAAATGCTCAAGTCATATCTTTGCTACATTGTCATTTTCTATAATAGAACTGCTTGTCATGTTTTTCTCTCTTATGATATATTAAACATCAAATAAAATTATACATTCTGTTTACCACTTAAATTTTTCCATGCCAAGCTATCAAAACTCTCAGACATTAATGATGATGGCATATCAGAAAAAATATTTATACTTATTCCAGATGAGCTATAATTTGTTTCTTTTTATATTTGCAAACAAAATATATCTAATGGGCAGGTATGTGAATACAGTTGAACTACTAAATACAAGTAAATTACATTTAATATCCATGAGAAAAATTTAGGAATATTCATACCTTGTTTTAGTGTAGATTTAAATATTCCTTGTTAACTGTTTCCTCTGACACTATGACTCACTACACAAACACTACTTGTCTTGTGCTAATTATTTCTCTATCAATGTTACATTTACTCCTCAGTGATTCCACAATTTATGCGTTCAATGTTGTTATCAAGTAGAATACAAGCTAGCTTGTAGAAACCAATTAACTGCTTGACCGGTATTCTCTATTCACTCATTCTGTATCAAACAATTCTCCAAGTATTTGTCAATTGTGTGTCACATGTCAGTGGAAGAGATTATTGTATTTCTCTAATTTAAACGACCAGTTATTTCCCATATTAACTATATTTTCATCACAAATAAAAAGTACTAATAACTCAGTTTTTCTTGCGTGAAAATAGTTTTGTACTTTGATCTCAACTATTGATTAATGGTCTTACATTTTGAGATCTCTAAGGGAGTATAGTTATAATGGTAAAAACATTATTTGACATTTGAAGAGTATTTTGAGGTGATAAATTCAATATCATATCAAGTTTCTTTCCTTGTGTGTTTATTTATTGATTGTAAGTCAAAACAGTTAAAAATATTCCCAGATTAAAGATATCATAGATATTTAGAAACAAAGCTAAATGTTTTGACTTACCAAATATATCAGATTTGTTTATTTATGTAATGTTAATTATCTTTCATATTTTGCCAATGGTTTGGGAATTGCTTCTTTTCGATTAAGATAGATTTTTAATGCTTTTTTTGGGCATCTTGAAAATTTGTTTCAATTGATGATGAGACACATTGATACTGTGTAAACACAATTGTTACAGAAAATTTATGGAATAAAAGAAATATGTGTGTTTTCAGTATTTCTTTTGGTCATATCTGTAGACAGTGGATACTGTAAACAGATGTGATATAGCAAGACTGTCATCTTGCAGTTGCTTTGATGTACCATTCTCAAATTTCATACTGAAATATCCGCTTGAAGATGTGAATGTATATTATCACCCCAATTCCTCAGTTTCTAAATATACAAACTGCAAAAATTCTATAGGGGGAAAACTGAATGGTTTTAAATCAAAATGATTCAATAATTAACTTCATAGACCTTTTGATCACCCTTCTATAATCATTGACATCTCTATAATGAATGGTTTCTGTCTTTCCTCAAAGAAATTGAATGATGAAATAGAAGAAGTTACTATTAAATTTATTTGGAATATAAATTCAATAGATCAAACCCATGTGGAATAATCACTTCACTTGCTCATTCTTAATTCAATAAACATCATTCACTTCTTGCTTTCATTTATACTCTTCAAAAGAGAAAACTTTCTATTCAAAATTGAAGGATTGACCTACAGGAATCCCTTAACTGGCCACTTTGCTTGAAATTCGTTTTTTCATTTAATCTTAACCTTATGTTGAAGCTTGAAAGATAACTTTTGTTGTTTCATTAATCAATACAAAAACTCAAATTATATTTTACCTGTTGACCAACTCAAAATAGTCTGCTGAAAGTGGAATACAAATTTGATATCGTTGAATATAGTTATTTATATACATGCTACAAGAAACACATATATAATATCTGTATAACATTCATACATTTTCAGTTCATTAACTTAGAGATATATGATATGAATTAATGATTATCAATATTATAATTTCATCAGCAGTCTGGTCATATTTCTGTACAGATGATTGAACAAGAATAGCAAATATTTGAGGTCTAAATCAATGGTCATGGTCATAATTTCAAATGAATGGGGACTAATTTTACACACATTTAGAAAGTGGTTTAAAACATGATTAAATTGATAGAATACATGTACCTGTGGGTACCTATGTAAAAAAAAACAGTATCAGTTTCATAGAGAACAGTAGTCACTGCTATTTTGTCAAAATCTTCTAGCTAGTTGGACACAATATTTTGTAAGCAGTGCATTATTATCCGGACTGAAGGGGAGAATTACGCAGGGAATTCCCAAGTTAATTTGTTTCAATATGCAGTAATGGACATTGGACTCAATATTATGTATTTCAATCATTATGCTAACATTGCTAAAAACTATATAGGTTATTGTAAACAATACAACATGTAATACATGTCTTTTCCAACAAGCCCAAAAGTTGAAACTTCCAATGTACAAGTAATTCTTTGAAATGATACAATTATGCGTACTGAAAAAACTAAAGAATTTACATACAGGACATCATACACATACACATAATATACAAATATTTTACATTCATATTTGAATATTTGAATTTGAATTTGAATATTTATTATTATTAGATTGTAAATTATATATTACTGACATTTAGTCACATTTTACATTAGATTTCGACACAAGATTCAACTCTCCTATTTTTTTTTATTCACTGTTGTAATCTAACAAAATTTATACCAAAGTTGAATTCTTGTGATGTTCAATGGAACCAATCTCAATGTGTCATGCATAGTCTTTGTCTTAATATTCACAATGAATTATGGGAAAGTGAAACCCAAAGCAGTCATATTGCTTTATCCTATAGAATAAAGGAATTGTAATCTTATTTTAATTCTTCAATACTGATCTTATCATGTAATATTTTATATATTGTACCACTACTAGTTGACTCAATGAACTGTGCTATCAATAGTTATTACTTTCCTTGTTTCAAAATGATTACTGATATAAATTTTATTTTAATATTTTTCAGTTTTATTACCAAGATTAGCTGGAATGGCTTTAGCTAATAATAATACAAGTAACGATACCAAGAGAAGAGATATTGCAATGCAGTTATTTGAAGCTTACAGTGCAATGTCATGTTGCTGTATCCTTTTTTATAAATTTGAAAATTCCTGGAATATAGTCTATTGTAATAGTATAAGTATAGAAACATGCTTTTTTCCATACACAATTAAAAAAAAAAGGAAAGATACCAAACCCAAGCAATATTAAAAGCTTTGGTTTATCATTTAGGATGTTGATTTCGGTCCTGAATGTTTGTAAATAGTTTTCAGAAGTAGCATAACTGCAGAAAAATTGCATAATCACTTCAAATATAGCTCAAACTGGAAATTTCACTTTATATTACTTTATATTGTGGTGTATCAATAAAAGACAAGTCTCCAACAAACACGGATGATTCTGAACTGGTAAGGCTCAAATTTCGACGGTAGCTGTGAACACCATTACTGATTAGCTAAGATAAAAAATTTCCTATTTCTGAGACTGGTATGATTGTTGAAAAGCTGGCGAACCTGTCCCTTTAAGCAATATCAAGTGCTTCATAAACATAAATTCTATGCCATTAACTATGCATCAAATTCTTTATGATATAATAATGATATGTATAATGCTGTTGCGCAAGTTGACAGCTTGAAGGTAAATTTCAAAGAGAAAAGTCTACGTTGTCTGTGAATTTTTTTTTTATTAAAACTCTATCACACATGAAGTATGAAATGATTTGGATGGAAAGAGCAGAATATGATTATTATCAGACATATCATGACTATTAGTGTAAACATATGTCACTTCAAAATAAAGAATAACTTGTAAAATTGTATTGAAATATAGTATTTAGATAATAAATTTGATAATATCAAATATCATTTTTTTAAAATTAATTTAGTATTTGATGCCAATACCAATAAATTTTGAATTCAACTCTGATCAAGTTAAGCCGTGAAAATACTTATGTACTTAATGATACTCTAAAATTTTAAATGGTTGGGGAATATCAGTCATTTTTTAACTTCAGACATAATATCTTGCCTTGTCAGGTAGTGTGTGGGTGATACCAATAGTTGTCACAACCTCTTCAGACATACATAACTATAAAAGGGGTCTGTCCAAGGACACTTATACCCTCCTTGTCCACAATTCTGATTTTTATTTCATGTCTGGTCCTTCAGAAACAAGTTGACCTGATTAGAATATCACTATTGTAAACACTATTCACAAAATGGCATTTGTACTTATAAAATCATATTCATATGTTCAAATTTTTAAGAATAACATGGTCTCCTTAACTACATAAGTTATCAATGATCAGTTGATATTAGAAGCTATGTTACCTGGATTAAGATGTTTAAAACAAGATATGGCTCTGATAGCACCTGAACATGAGGAAGTTGTAGTATCCATGATAAAGGAATATGAAACCAAAATGGATGCCAGCAGATCTGTTGAAAGGTAAGTTCTCTGTAATCTTTCTCTTTACCACATCAACTACAAAAACATTTTGCTTGTAAGAATTTTTAACTTATGAGTTTAAATGAAACACAATCACTTCAAAATTACTATTTTGAAAGCGTTTGATCAGTGAAAAAAAAACATTAAGGTATCTTATTTGTTAAGCAAAAAAATAATACGAGATTTCACTCTTACAAAGCATCAGACATGGTAAGATCAAATCTCTTAGATAGGAAAGTAATAAAGTAATGAATTAGGGGATTGTATATCTCATTGCTTATATTAATGATCATACAAATGTTAAAATCTTCTAGTTTACAGAAGAGATAGACTACTCTGGTAATACATTATATCTAACTTGATCCCTGATCAAGGGGTGACAGAGTACTCAATAATGTGCTTATTCGACCATGATTATATATAATTGGATGTGTATGTAATATTGCCAAATTGGTTTTGATAAGTGTTACTTTTTAAGTAGAGAAAATTTGCTTGGTTAACGGAAAATTCTGGTTAATTGAAAGGTTTGAAATTGATTAGTTGAGGAAATTTTACTGAGAAACACATCTTGGCAGAAAGCTGGTTTTTTATAAATTGTGCTGTTTAAAATTAGTAGAGAGACTTTCAGTAAATTTTCTCTCTAGACCAATCTGACATCAATAGTCAACTAGTGCCACATTCAATTTCACATATTTCTATTGAACTAAAAAGTCTGTCTCAGAAATTCCAAGGTGGTTACCGACTCTAAAATATATACTAAATAGCCTTAAGGTTTAATACATATTACTGTTCAATATTATCATAGAAACATTCCTTTTCAAATTTTTTGGATATTGTGGTTAATACAGTGTCACAATTGATTCAGAAAGAAAGTCACTCAGGTGAAAATTAACACAGAACTCTATGATGATTGTTTTGGTATGCAAACAATGAAGCTAAGCCTATATCCTGCAGACTGTTTAGCAATGGCAGCATCAGCCTCGGAAGGCTAGGGGGACAGATTCAACTGGGGGGGACATTTGTCAAAGCTGATTCAAAATGGGCAACTCAGTTGAGGTGTCATATTTGGAAGCCTCTCATAGAGCGTCTGGGATTTTGAGCATTCTGACACATATATTGAGGCAAAAAAGTACAAAATCATGTATATTTGCCTCTCTCCTCTGTACCCCAGTAGTGCCACCAGTGCTGTTTAGAAATTGATCTTAATGGCCTTGACTGAGATATTTATTCATGTAAAACTGTCAGCTTTCAGTTAGTGCCAACATTAAATGTACTGTGATTTTACATATTTAGACATTTTGTCTCCATTTAATGGAGGCAAGTTGTAAAAAATATTGATTTCTTACTCAGAAGTTTTCTTTCAAACTAACAATAGGAAGAAAAGCACTTCTCACCAAGAACAGTTTATAGCTGTCATATACATCTTTATAATTAAATTAAATATGATGTAATGTCAGAAGAAATCATAAATTACACATTTATTATAAAAACTTTTCTGAAAATATAGAACCTTTGACAGTAAATCATTGAAAGTTATTCGTAGGAGAAGAATGGCTGTCATATTGTTAGTGAGACTTGCATGATTGCTTGTATATAAATAGTTGTATAACTGTTTGGCTATCAGTAACAACATATCTGAACTATCTAATCCATCTGTTAAATGCATTGATTATCCAGAAAGTATCATAGCATACAAGCCTTGGAGAAAGCAATTTTTATGAATATTTTGTTGTTAATTTTGTTTTTTCCATTAATGTCTGTGGGTTGAGTCATCCAATGGTTATGAACTTCATTTTTAAAGCAATATTGAACATGATTATAATTCCCTTCAAATTATTTTCTGTTTTATTTATTTCAGAAGCGGTAGTATAGCAAGTCTGAACAATATGTCTGCCGAGGATGTAAGACAACGTGTCATGTCCAAATTTAAAGACTCAAATATTTCTAATATATTTGGTCGTAAGAAGTGAAGAATATCTGATGAACTTCATCAACTGTACTTTGTGATATTTATTTTATATTGTTATTTCTGTTTTAAAGGCTATTAAGTTTTTTCTGAGGATGGAGTCGGTAATTTTAAATAACACACCATGATTTCATGATTTCAAGATATGTTCATCATAAATATATTGAAGAGTGAATAGTAAAAAAGGCCATAAAAACTTCAGCACCAATTTTGCCAAAATATCAACTTTAAGGAAGAAGAAGAAAAAGATTCTCAGAGCAACCAATATGATCAGCAAGATGACCCAGTTATTGAAAATTGGTATTTTAAAAAAGAGTGAACATATCTAATATAAATATAAGTGATTGACATGTAGATTTCTATATTGTGATAGTATTTCACTGGTACTAATCTCCTTGTCTAGACACTGTCAAAATCTTTCTGTATCTCTATAATTCTTACAAAGTCAGATTGATGATAGAACAAATGAAATGATGTGACTGGTGATTTGTTCAAGTTAAATTTACTAATCAATGTGATCATTTAGAAGCTTAGGTTTATCACTGGCCTCAAATACAAATAAACTTTTAAAAATTTCATACAAGCACCAGCAACAAAAGCAACTGAAAAGGTAACAGATTTCTAAACAGAGTTGCCAGGTTTTGATTAAGACATTTAGAAGCAGAGAGCACAAATAACAGAAAACATAAGATATTATGTTATTGTACTGTATATCACACATCCTTAATAACAGTAATGTTTGAACAGTGTTATACCATAAAATATTCCCTTGTTTTTTTTCTTTTCTTTTGTGTTGCCAAGTTGTTAATTCTCACATAATTCCAATACTTGGTATTTTAACTTTTGATATATTTTTGCATTCTAGATGTACTATCTTATTTGGCTCTGTGTAAGCTTTTTGTAATAGAATGCACTAGACTTTAGTAATTGATTAATATATATTCAAACTAATTCAATCATATTAGATATATTTGATATAAGTATAGTATAGTTATACTTAAAAATATGATGCACAGGCCCTTTTGTTCAGACTCGCGTTTTATGAAATATTATAAGTTATAGTAGAGATTAGATTGCGTTAGAATTGCTTCTGTTAACCAACCCTAGTTTATAGGGGTAATATATTTATCAATTTTAGATTTTTATCAGTATCTATACCAGGATGTCAAATTGTAATGTTTATTATTTATCAACATTACTAATATTGTAGTGTTTAATATTGATCAACATTACTAATATTGTAATGTTTATTATTTATCAACATTAATAAAATTGTAATGTTTATTATTGATCAACATTACTAATATTAGTAATGTTTATCATTTATCAAATTTACCAATATTGTAATGTTTCTTATTTATCAAAATTACTGATATTGTAATGTTATATATTTAATACTTATCAACATTACTAATATTGTAATGTTTCTTATTTATCAACATTACTGATATTGTAATGTTACGTATTTATCAACATTACTAATATTGTAATGTTTAATATTTATCAACATTACTAATAATTTCAATGTTAAATATTTATCAACGTTACTAATAATTTCAATGTTAAATATTTATCAACATTACTAATATTGTAGTGTTTAATATTGATCAACATTACTAATATTAGTCAAATTAACCAATATTGTAATGTTATATTTTAAATTTTTATCAACATTACTAATATTGTAATGTTTCTTATTTATCAACATTACTGATTCAATTACTAATATTGTAATGTTTGATATTTATCAACATTACTAATAATTTCAATGTTAAATATTTATCAACATTACTTTTAGCAATGTTGTAATGTTAAATGCTTATCAAAATTATTAATATTGACAGATCTTAACAGATCTCGCTTCCCATTTTTTTTTTTACTTGTGTAGGATACCCTGACAAAATTACCAACATATTTCAAACCCTGACTTGACAAAAAGTGTCAATAAAAAAGCTGTAATCTCTATTGAACTCTTCACACATACATACTTTCAAACAATATGAAACTGAATAATAGGTGTTAGAATCTTTTTAAATTTCAATACTTAGAGTCTTAAAATAACATTTAATAACCTTTCAAATAATTATATAAGCTGATTTATTTAGATTGTTTAAAATTGCATTGAAGTTATTTTAACTGTCAAGAACAATTTGTTATTTAAAACAATGTAAGTTTTTTTCCCTGGTACTCAATCTGCTATAGAATTAGAAAATTACTCATGACATTTCTCTGTAGAAAACAGTATGCTTCCTGTGATAATAAACATTACAAATTAACATACTTGAGGAACAAATTAAATAGTATTTTTAGACCAAAACATATAATTGTATCTCGTGTTTGCAAGGTCCATCACTAGCTGTTTCTTCTGGAAGTAAAATTTTAATGAAATATTTTAATTGCTTTATGGTGTGTTAGATGTTTGAAGTATGAATGAAGTCTAATTGTTCAATGATGACTTGATGAAGTTAAGAAAAAAGGAACCTACCAAAAGTTATTTTTTGAAATAATGATTTACTAGTAAATGTATATTTAATACATACCGGATATCACTAATATATGTCAATAAATATTGATTTAAGAAAAATGTAATGGTGATGTATGCATGCTTATATTGCTTGCTAGCTTTCTCAGTATGTTCTTCAAGCAAATAGGATTTCAACATCTAGAATCTGCTGCTGTTTGACTGTATTGTCCATCAAAATCATGAAGGGATATGATTCCTCTTTACCAGTTGATAAAGCTTGATTTTAGTTATCTTTATTAGTTTTCCAATTTTATTAGAAGTTAAAACTGTCATTACTTTCAAAGCTCAATTTAACTTTTCATGTGCTGATTTTACCAACATGACATCAGTCATAATGGTAAGGATGTTAATAACGCCATTAAAGTGGTAAAAAGTTTTATTATCTGTAAGTATATTTTCTTGAATTGCAAGAGAAACAAATGTTAGAATTTAATTCCCAAAATGTGAATTATAGCTGATATTAGCCTATGTATTTGGAATAATAAAATTGTAAGATGGATGGGTTATGAGATGA